ACTACCTGTGACAAAAAAAAAAAAAATCCTCTTTCTCTGTATTGAAACCTGAGTATAAATTTAAGAATAGACTTGAAATCTTCTCAGACACCTCTCAGCAGCCTATTTAGGCTGGTGAATATATGCTGAGGTTGTGTTTTGTGTGAAGCTTGAGTATTTCATTAGCAAAAAGCATATTCAATGTTGACTTGCTTCTCTAGTGAAGTTGTCACCCATTTGGGGTGACAAAGAGAAAAGGAAACTGGACCCAGAGAAATGATTGTTATGCAGCTTTCAAACACCGGGTTTGGTAAATCACCAAAGTGTTGATGTCTGAAAATGGCACACTCGGTCTTTCCTCCTTCAGCCTCAGCATAGGTTTATATCAACACTGAAGAATGATATGATTAATTACGACTAACTTTCCTCTTCATTACAGATATATATGTTGCTAAAAAGAAAACAAGGTCAGGAACCTTTTAATTTGTGTAGGGATCTGTATAGCCCAAAATACTTTTGCTCCTACAAGGTGCCTGTATTTTAGCCATAACAGATGAATATTATAATAAAGGAAACTGTCTTTGCTATGACTGTTACTGTATACCATAGTATTCTCATGTGAAGTTGTCTGCCAGAATGAATTCTTCAGTAATTAGCATTTGTTTGCTTGTGCCATGGATTTTTGGCTTTTCCCTTGAAGCTACTTATCAATGAAAACTCTTAATACATTAGCCTGTATTTTAGCCATAACAGATGAATATTATAATAAAGGAAACTGTCTTTGCTATGACTGTTACTGTATACCATAGTATTCTCATGTGAAGTTGTCTGCCAGAATGAATTCTTCAGTAATTAGCATTTGTTTGCTTGTGCCATGGATTTTTGGCTTTTCCCTTGAAGCTACTTATCAATGAAAACTCTTAATACATTATAATTAATACAGTCACACTTTTCCAGGAGTGGCTGCTAATTTGAAACAGTACTTGAAATATGAAACATTAAACTTTCTCACAAACACTTTTTTCTTCTCAAGATGTCCAGTTATTAACTTCTCTATGTAAAGGTGTCATTTGTAACTGTCTTGCAATTTTTTGGCCATTGTGACAATGGGGACATTCAAGACAAACACTGACACTTCTACTCCCTTGGGGGAAACAGAATTCTTTTTCTTTGTAAAAGGAAGGCTTTTCCATGTTTACATGGGGGCAATACTGTCAGGAGCTTGACACATCATCTTTGCATTCAATAAAAGAACTTTATTTATAGGAATATTTGGAGACCCTGCTGTACCTGTCTGAGCTGGGGATTCTCTCATGACATGAAGGGAAAGTCAACCTTTCTATCATGTCCTTCCTCTTATTAGGTACTTTAGCATTTCCCACTTCATCATTCTTTCAAAATCCAACTACTTTATTGCAAGGGGCTTGAGGAAGGAGCTCTGAAGATGACTGGACCCGAAAGTGATACTCGTGGATTCTTAGGTCTCTTGTCTGTGGGAAGTGGGAGCACAGGTAGCATCTCTGCTGCCAGGGCCATATTTGGCATCCTCACTGACAGTACAGCAAAAGCATCCAGGGTATAACATACTTTTGTTCTAAAAATTTTTAAAATGTTTCAAATATGTGTTTAAGTACAATATAGCACAATATAAATGACTGCTTCGTGTGGAAATGATCATGTGTTCCTGAGATACAGGTATACTAGAAGGGAAATTTTATATTACTGTGCATTCTTGTATTCTTTCAATTTAGCAAATCCAAAGAGTCAGCAAAATACTTAAATTTGTTTAGATCAACAACTGACAATAAATTAAAAACCTAGTAACTGGCATTTTACATGTTTTTTGTTAACACACCTAGGAGGATCTCATTATTAGAAAGTGATGAACCAGCATTGTCTTACATGATACCAACCTTGAAGACTGTTCAGTTATATGTATCTTGTTTATTAGCTAACCGGGCAGAACTGATGTCAATTTAGGTATTTTACAGTGACAACTACAGCAACACGTGTTTTTCCTATTATTTCTTTACCATAGTAAAGAACACCTTCCCTGCCTAATCATAGCCTTTCTACATCTTCTATACATTCAGATCTATTTTGTTAACAGTTTAGATCAAACCCAGTAGAATAAACTCATTAAAGTACAGCTACGAAACCCCAGTGAACTTTGTTTTCTTAAAACAACTGTTTATGATGGTGAAGAATACAGCCCACTGAAATTTTCAAGATTTCAAAGATGGTCCTGTTCTGGCAGAACCCCCAACACTGTGAAACTGTTCCATGAAAACAACAGACCAAAAGCCTCCACCAGGACATGAACTGCTCAGGGGACAGAGCAACTGCCCTCTTTGATCAGACTAAGGACCTGGCTCACTATTAGGTGCTTGACAGCAGTGAGGCATAGCATTTACAGAGCCATCCTTCCTGTATTATTCCCTTCTGATTCTGACAACCAGAAGCTTAGGAGTTGATAACAAAGCAAGCCGAATTTGGCGCTCTCACATCTCAGGTAATTCTCCATACCAACAAGTTCTTTATAATCTTCACAAGTTCTTCCTTTTGTATGGTTTTGACTAAAAATCACAAGCTGATGTGGGAAATGTTCCAAATGAAAGTTTCTTAAAGATGCACAGAGTTTCAGTCTTGAAAAAAAATCAGTATCTTTCTATGAAAACCTTTGTATCAGAAAAATGCCAGAACCTCTATCAAGGAATTTGATACAAGAATCTGAACAAGACCTAGGAAAGCTTGCTATCCACAAAGAGCAATGCGGACATACAGCAGCAAAAATACCAATGTAAGATAAAATATAGCCTGATGAGAGTGGTATAAAACACAGCAAGACACCGATTAAGGAGTATTCAGGAAGTGCACTTAGATCCATGCTTCTAATTTCCCAGGCTTGGGCTTGTCCTGCTGAAATAAGTAATGACTGGTACATTCTGCATTAGGATTCACTGTGCTAATGTTAACAGATTTGCTTAGACGTCTATTATTTTTACTGTGCCAATACTACCTATTGCACATAATGTCTCCCATCACCAAAGAGTTTCCTGACATTAACAACTAGATCCTCAGAGCAAACTCCTTGAGTTATTCTAGATGGTTTCACAAGGCAGAACAGGGTTAGCTGGCATCCTGTGTTGAGCCTTTAAGAGATGGCATTGTCTAGGGAAAAGAAGATGCTTTTGTAACTGGTATAATTCAGATGATGGAAAGGTCTTTGTACGAGCTATAGGAATTTCCCAAGGGCAGCATTGCCTGGCATCCCTGTAGCACTACATACTGTGGACTTGTATAGACCTTGGCCACAGACCTACCTGGCACTTTATCCATGTCATCAGCCCTGAGAAAGGTGAAGAAAAAGGTCTTTTCTTTGCAAAAAAGGACTTTGGTGCACAGGAGGGCTGGACCCACAGTGATGACCTCTCCCAGCTAACAGAGGGCCTCATGAACCCAAGGCACAACGGAAGTCTGACTTTGGGGAATGCCAACCAACCTGCTCCATAACCACTATGTCCTGTCAGAGACTCAGGTTTGGTGCCTGTGGGAGGAGCAAAATATTAACGCCCTCAGAAGCCACCTGCATGACGTATTACAGGACCCAGTAACAAAGTAATATACCGAAATGTACAGCAATTAGGTCTCAGCCACAACCACCAATTACACTGATGAACACCGAGGAAGCACTGGAGTCTTTTCAGAAAAAAAAAAGCTGTTTTTTCTTGTTCAGTATCCGGATTAAAAAATTAAACCCAAACATTTCACATCAATTAAAAGTTTTGAGAATTTTGGGGTGGAGACGAAATAATTATTTCAGTCTGAGGAAAAATAATTCTGAATAATCTTAAGTGAGTTATTCTCTTTTGGGTAATTTCTAGTAACAGAATGCAAGTCCTTTATTCACAGTGAGGAGCATGTATTTCGCTTTTCAGGGCTAGTGCCTACCCACTCACAGAACCCCCTCAGAGTCTTACAGTGTATTGTTCAAAGTTCTTGTTATTTAGTTGCTGTAATGGAGCCAAGTTATGGCTGGGTTCTTAGAGAGGGAAGAGTTTAGGGATCTTTTCTGCAAGTAAGACAGCCAGAATTTATTTGGCTGAATTTGGGACTGAAAAGGATGTACAAGTCAATAAAGCATGCAAACATTTTCCTACTACCCCAAAGAGAAATGTGTTCTGACATGATACCTCTGTTCAGCCCCACTTGCTGGGTTGACAGTATTAGTGAAATGAAAGAGCTGCTGGCTAGCAAAATCACTTACAGTGTCCTGAAAACACTGAATCAAATTTTAACTATTGCTGCAGTCTCTGCCTGCAAAGGAAACTTGCTAAAGGAGAATCTTTTTCGTTCAGAGTCAGTTCCTTATATTGGTGACATACTGCTCTAATACAGATCCCAAACAGACTTCTGTTTTGTCCTCCATTGCCTATTAGATATTTTAACATGCACTGCGGTTAAAAATTAGTACATGCCAATCAAGAAGCAGGGCGGATGGTGCTACCCTCCTGAAAAGTGTAAAGCAAAGGCAACTTTATTTTCAATAACAGCTTTAAGGACTTCTGAACAGCCACCTGGTTTGCTACGCCTTCTGGTTTAGTTTATCACAGTAATTATTCTGCTATTCAGAATTTTATTCTGAATTTTACTAATTTAAGGCCAGATGACAAAGTTACAGTATATCAGTATTTTTCCCACTGAAAGTATCATGCACAACAAGCCTCAAGTTAAGCCACTATATGTAACCCACTAGTTTTGGATGCTGAAATGATCTTTCATAGCCAGATTCCAAAGCCCTTCTGTAAAGCATTGCATTGATCCACAGTTGGTAATGCTATGTACTCATCTTTTATATAGCTGGTGAAATCTGGCTATCCAGGAACAGAGCTAAATGAATGCTAAAGCTGGGCATTAGCATAAAGGTGGGCAAACCAATAAAGTAATGAGAATTAAACAAATTTGTTTTTTTCCAAGAACTGAGACAGCAATAAAATCCAGTGTAAAATACAATTTTGTACCTATCACATGACTCTGACATGTAGTCCTTGTCATGGTGTCCTCCTCTTCTTCTTGCAGGTTTTCTGTGACTACTTTAGCCTGTACATAGTACAACAACAAAAGTGAAGAACATCTGTGACTGTTCATGTTGCTTCGTGATAACTACAGAATATCTTTTCAGAAATAAACCAGAGTAAAGTTACAGGGCAGCTAAGAGTGGCAGTACATAGCCTGTCTCATTCTATGGACGATATCTGAGGATAACAACTTTAACTTCGTTCAAAGTCACAATATGCAGCAGTCAAAAAATACCCTTGGAAGATCAATTCTTCAAAAGGAAAAGTCTTTTTCTGCATTAAAAAAAAAGGAATTATGCTCAGGTCTTCTGACCTCTTATTTGTTTCTCTCTAGAAATACCATGTTTCAGATTCTATGCTAAAAAACCCCGTGAACTTAATATGGTGGTGGTATCTCTCTAGTTCAGTTTGCAAACACTGAACTTTGGTGTTTTTGTTTCCACCTCTGTGGAAAAATAAAAGCATTTATTAGCTAAACAGAGAGAAAAACTTCATTTAAGAATGCAGTGCACACTAAGACCCTGTATGTGTTATTCAAGTATGTGTTATTCAAATCCCCTAGATATTCTATTTTTCAGATGAAGGCATATTTTTTGCTCTGTTCTTCTGCACTCCTATTTCCCAAGTGTATATATAATCTGAGTATCTTTCTAGCATACAGTGAAAACCCCCTCCATTACATGCCATCAGCAGCCATAATTCAGATCCAGGGACATATTTTTCTGCCGTGCTATATAAATCAAACAGGAATGAAGATACTTTCAGCATGATGAGAGGAGGAAAGCCAGCACTGCAGAAAAAATTACTTTCAATATCTCAGAGATCTTAAATTATTTGTTAATCGCTCTCTGCTGTTTTAAACCACTTACAGCACATTCACAATAACATTAAATATGTTCTGTAATCTAAACCAGTAGAATTTATCATCATTTGCATGACATATCTTTGATCATAGCATATATTCTGCTTGTCTGGCTTACACAAGTAGCCCTATTGACCTCTTGTGGCAGCCTTAGTAAGACATGAAAGACCCGCTCTCTTTATTTGTAAAAGTGCTTTTATAATCTCTTAATCCCAGAGATCTGATTACATCTTTTTTCTTTTGAAATGAGGCTCTTCAGGCTATGGAAAATGAAGAGGAGAGTATGTGATCATTTGGCATCGAATTATGGGTAAAACAATTTTTCACGTTTGCAGACTGCATGGCGGTCTGTGGCTTGCTGCTGATGTGACATTTCACAATATTAGGATAGATCTCTGGGTATTCCCCAAACACACAGACTGCAGACAGACAGTGCTATACAAAACTCCTGGTGTCTTGATTTTGGTGCCACACTTCCACCTCACAAAGTAAAGCCCATGGATTTTCTAAATTACACTGGGCTGTAATAAAATCACAAAGATGAAATGAAGCAGTGCAGCACAAAAATGACTGTATCTCACCTTAAGCTCCAGCCAAGGACATGAAAAAGTATTGGAGAATGTGGAATATCCTTGGTGTGGGCTAAAGGATTATGTATTTCTGTTGGCTGGCCTTTAGAGCAAAGTGCTTTTTTGATGAACACTAACGGGAAGCGTATCCCTCTGAAGGTGAATGCCGCCATTGGTGGAATATTGCTTTTTCCATAAATTCCATGGCAGTCAAGCAATAACATTCTTTGCATGAACAGAAATCAGAGGTAATTGGTGCATATGTTATGGCATAATAGTGCCCCAAGTCTTTACCTGGCACATCATAAGAGAAGAGATTTAATCATTGAAAATTGAATAGCCTTTAAAGGAAAAACTTGCTAGAAAATTAATGTTAAAAACTGTTATGGCCAGAATTTAAAGAAGCAATATATATATGATATGCAGTTTTGAAATACAGCAGCTTCCGCACTGAACCCGTATGACTGAATGCACTTTGCATTGTTCAAAAAAGAAAAGAAATCTTCTTAGTTTAGGGCTTTTTGAAAGATTGATGCTGTTTTCTCCAAAAGCATTCATTTTGTCTTTTTACAAGTAAAAAAATGCACAACAGGCCATTCTATCGCATGCGACTGTTTTCAGTCACAGCTATCTCCTGGTCCTTTGCGATCTGCTTCAAAGTAAGCAGACACCAAAGAATAACTGGAAATGATAGTAATAAGATGCATGAACTTTGAATTTAAAGCTATTGTTTTTCTTGTAGAAGTTTGGAGGACAAGATGAAATATCACATACTGTGGAATCTTAAGGTATACCTCTTTCATAAATTAGCATTAAGAACTGTAAGCACTTTTTTAATCTCGTTATTCTAGATGTCCTCAGTCTTTTGGCACTAGATATTTCTTTCAGGAATTAAGTGCCACAAAAAACACAATATGAAACTCAAAAAGATGAAGCATATAATGTAACTTAATCTTCAAAAACAATACAAAAAATACTTTGATTCCCAGCGAACAAAAGAGTGTATGGTATAGGACAGGTAATGCCTTTTCCCCATGACTAACATGTCCTTAAAAATTAAATAGTATAATTAGCACTTCTCCATTATTTATGTATATTAAGGACAATATTTGTAGTTCCCTGATAAAATGAAGTGTGTTTCTTGAAGATATATTTAAAGTCCTAAATGACTATTACTGCTGCATTTAGAAAGACTTCACAAAATGACAGACAAAAAGCACAGCGAATTATTGCAGCATTAGAAAATAGGAAGTTAGAAAGAAATTGTAGAAGCAATGTGTAGAGTATTTTGTACTTCTGTACAGTGAAGATATACCCTAAGCTGTCAGGACCATATTAAATGGGGCATAGTTAAACTGAGTGGCTCTGATAAGGGGCTCTGCTTTGCTATCAAAGTTCTAGATCAGTTGGATTGAATTTCCTGCATATTGCACATTTCCAGACTTTCATTCTCTCTCTTTCTTTTCAGTGACACTACAAGGACAGCCTTAGATATGCTTATAATTTGTGGTTTTATAATGCAGGATACATCTACATTTTCAAAGAAGAGATGATACCACAGGAGTCAGGAGAAAAAAGTTTTCAAACACATCCATTCTGCATATGTTCCCTGTAAGTTTTAAAAAATGACCTTGCAGATGTTCTTAGGAAAGACATCTGCATTAAAGTAAAAAAAAAATTTGCCTGAAGTTGAAACCATGCGTGGGATACTTTAACCTTAAGCATCCTAAACATCAGTACTAAGCTAAGAGTTTTTCCAGTTCCCATCATGAAGCTTTTTGAAATTTGTTTTACCCTTGAAACGCATCCCAAAGAATTTGTATTTCAAATTCTCTCAGATGAAATAGTTGCATGTGCTGTACTTCAACAACTCAGTTTTATCAGAACAACAAAAGTAATAGCCTCAACTTCAAGTTCAGTATTATATTTGGCACAAGTTTTCAGACTATTTTGTGTAAATTGTGATTATTGTTAATAATCATCATAATAATATGGTCAAGACAGCTATCAGGAATGAGAAAAGAATGCTCATTGAGTTAAAACATCTCTGTTTTCCTGGTGCTTGGACTTTAAAACATCATGGGAAAGGCCCCCGCTAGGCAAGAAATCGCTCACTAAATTCTAAGGTTAATTATTAGAAGCTTCACAAGGACGGGCAGCCATTCAGTCTGACTTTAGGCTACAATCCTAGACTCTGTGTGTACACTTCTCGATGCAGAAAAGTTAGCCACTCACATAACCTTGCAAGAACCAGAATCTAGCAACTAACAGAAAATAAAATTATTTTTCTTCTAAATTGCAACATTCCTACTCTTGGTGTAAATTAAAGTATCAGGTATAGTTAGTATCTTACTGAAGCATAAAACTAACTACAGAGCATTAATAGGGAGATTTTCCACAGTACGAAGAGAGACATGGGTCAAATGTATGTTTTTGCTTTTGAAAGACTCCCTCTTAAGTGACAAATATTCCCAAACGTGGTCAAATACTTTGCCTTTTCCCCATCAGCAGTGCACTTTTTAGGCTTAATGATTTCTATAATGTTCAGAGGAATGTTCAACACTGGCATGCGATTTTCAGGGAAAGGGGAAAAAAATGAGAAAAAAGAAAATGGTCGTATTATTTCACTCTACTACAGTATGATTATAGCATCGTTGTGCATATATCTCCACTGGAATTGAATTGCCAGCAGAAGCAGTAGGATCTTCATGACTAGCTGTATAATCTGGCCTATAGTTAAGCTGCCAACTTTTGTATTAATTCACAATTCTCTAGCTACACAAAATCTTTCTATCATATATAAACAGTTATTATCCTGTTTGTCTGTACTGGCAATAAGGAACACATCCAGAAGTTAAAAAGAAGGTAATACTGTTTTCATGTACTAAAGCACTTACCAGGGTCTGATTCTGCATTTCCATATCAGCTTTTGTGTTGCTGTTTTTCTTGTGGTTTCCTTGAGAGCTGATAGAGTTGCCGTGAAGAGAGGAGCCCTGGGAGCTGCCCTTCGACACACTCCTGTAGGAAACATTATTTGATCCACTTTCTGTCTGCTGAGCTGCTTTCTTATCAACTCTGCAGGTAGAGAGTGATTCCTCTGATAAATTACATTGCCCTTCTTCAATCACTCTACTTTTCCATTCCTTTAATGTTTAAAGTAACCTCTCTGTATCTTCCTGTCTCTAGACCTTTGAGTGATAAATGTTTCTAACTAGCCTTGATCAAATCTGTCACTTGCAATTTCAGGTAGTATATCAATTTAGTCTTTCACATATAATGATTTATATTATATTTGGGACTGCTGTGGGGCAAACGTGAAAACACAGTATAGCAATTGCTAAATTCTTCTGTGACCGAAGGTTGTGATAGCTAGAAATGTAATTAATTCTGACTAGTTACCAAATATATGTTTGCTGGTTAGAATACATGAAAATGGAATACATTAAAACATGTACCTAATTATCCTCTATCTTTACACACCATCTGCCTAGATTCTTGATTTCTGGAATCATTTGAATTTCTATCAACTTGGATGTAACTTGCCATTCTTTAATTTCAAAGGCCATTGGTTTGGTTAACATAGTAACATGAACAAAATTATCTCATTATTAATGTTTTTTCCTGTAGAGATTAAAGTCCTGATAGTGTATCTACTGACTGCTACTACGCATTCTTAGTCTAAAAGGAACATATATTGAACTTAGCATCTGAGCATCTGTAAAGCTACAGTGTACAACAACACATCCCAAATTTTGTTCCAGAGTTTTACCTGTTTAAAAGCTCTTTCATAAAACTGTCTTTTGGTGAGTACGTAGCTGTGGTGGAACCTTTGACTTGTTCACACTCAATCTCACCAGGCGTGTCTTGTGAAGGTTTCATAATTTTGCTCTCCATGACATCAGCTAAAATATCACCGTTGTCTGTTTTCCTGTTAATTTCATTTTCTATTTCACAGTGTTGTTCAGTTTTCTTTTTTTCTTTTCTTCTCTCTAATTTTGCCTGCTTAATTCCAAATCCCGAAACTTTTGCATCTTTTTTTTCTACCTTTGTTTTAGGAACATCAGTTTTCCTGCTACTCAGTGCTGGGAGCTTACTCTTTCGAAAGCCAAACCAACTAGCTATAGAGGGCCCAGTCTTTTGTTTAGTCTCCGCAGTGGGAGATTTGGTTTGTCCCTGACCCTTTTGCACATTTTCTTGGATGCATAACATGACTTTCTCCTCTATTGTAGGTTGTAGAGCCGGTGAACTCAAAACATCGGTAACCTTCTCAGAGGCTTCTGCTAACTTTAAAGACATTTGCTGTCTTCGTGACTTTGTTGCTTCCAGTTTATGAGGACACTTTATTCCATCCGAGCTTTGAAAAGATGAAATTTGTTTGGAAGATACAGTAGCTGACGCTTCTAACTCCAATTCTGCTGGCAAAACGCTTTTCTTACTTAGAGCTTCGTGTTTAAAACTTTCAGTGCTTTTCTCACTCCGGACAGATAGACTGCGTGCATCTTTCTGAGAAAATGGTTTGTTTCCATCACATTTTGAAGTGTGAAACAAGTCTACTTTTGAAGATGATCTGAAAGGCAGTTTGCTTGGGCTTCCATGCTGGCTATTGCAACTACTCATATTTCCAAGAGAACCTTGTCTAGAATAAGAATTTTCTGTGGTTTTAGGATTATATGAAAGAGTCTCTGGTGTCACTGCTGACCCAGGAATGGCCTTGATTTGAAGCCCTTCCATGGCTGAGTTCTGCCTTGTTAGAGAATTTCCTCTATCAGAAGTGTTTGTAATAATCTGAGTCCGTACTTTTCCGAGACCTTCTGTCACAGGGGCAGATGGCTTTTCCCCTGTATGAATGCTAAAACTCTGACTACGAGCTTTCGCTCCATTCATGCCCAGAGCTGGCTTCAAGTGTGACTTGTTGCTAGAAGAAACAGATCTCTTAACTAATTTGTTTTCTAATCCATCTACTCTGTCTACCACCAAGTTGCAGTTTTCATGTGAATGAGGTGATGCTGTATCCATACTAAGTCCCACAGTAAAATTATTTTTTACTTCAGTATCAGATGTAGTCTCTTTTAATTCAGCATCCGTTGCATCCCTAGTGGTTACACTTCTAGATTCATTTTGCTTGTACTTACTTGAACTTACATTACTTTTGGAAGCTGCATTTATACTGTCTTTTTCCTGCTTCCCTGGTACAGTAGAGCTCTTTCGGAGAAGTTGGGGAGATTTGACAAATAATTTCAGTCCTACAGGGAGACGGGTTTTCATTCCTTTCTCATTAGAGTTTTGGGTAGCATGTGCAGTGTCACTACCATGAAACAGTGTTGATAACGAGGAATTGTTTACCTGAGATAGTAAAGGCTCACTTGTGCTTGTTGTATGACATTGAGGAGTTGGGGGGAGAACGTTTGGCATCTTCTGTGGCTGATCCACCCCACTGTCACTGAAAGTATCTTTTTTGCTGGAATATGCCTCTTGTGAAGAAGTTGTTTCCAATGATGGACAACCTAGAGAAAAGGACCTGGCTGTTTGAAAATCTGTGCTGGAAAATTCATGATTCCTGTGGAGACCCAGCTGATTAGGGGGTTTGGGGCAGACTTGCTTTGTGGAAACTTTGGAAAGTCCTTGGCATGCACTATGGGGTTGCTGAGATATGCATTTATTTTGCATAATTGGTTCTGCATTTTCTTGAAGGTAAGATAATTCAATTTTGGCCCCAGAAGATACATTTTTTGCTTGCATTTCATGACTAGATTGATTATGAAAGCCAGAGTTCACAGTTCCTTTTAATGGTGATGATTTCAGTATATTTTTTGCTGTTTCACTGGGACCAGCTCCTCCTAACTTTACCACTACAGGTGGTGAATGAGCATAATTAGGCCGAATCAACAGGGATGTTGACCTGCCTGGAGGAAGGGGTGGGGACGGTGATCGGGTTTCTACAGTTGCTAAATCACAATGAAAGTCTCTGGTTGGAGGTTCTCCATAGTCACTGGGCTCTATAAGGTGCTGAGGCAACAGTGGTGATGCTGGACTCTGACTCTTGACTGGGCGTTTCAAGCCGGGCAGGGGGTGGGCAGGGGGCTTTGGAACTTGGAAGTCGACTTTTGAGTCAAAATTACGAGGTGGACTTTGTGCCTTTTTGAATCTTGAAAGCTTTACAGGTGGCAGAGCAGGTGATTTTTCAAGGGTTGCAGGGCCCACTGGTTGAGCTACAGGTGTCTCCTCGCTTTCTGTCATCGCAGGTTTTTTTGGAGAAAATTTACCTCTGCTGGGTATTTTAGTCAAATTTGGCTTTTGATTGATTCCTGCATGCACAGTGGAGCTTGAATTGGCCTTGTATGATACATCATACGCTGGCTTCACTAGTTTCTGTCGTGGAGTATTTTGCAGTGTCACTCTTCCACAGCGTGAAGATTCACTGCAGGTCACGGGGACAACTGTATTTTTATTCCCTGTATTATCTTCAAGAATCTTTTTCTCGGTTTCATCTGCAGGTCTTTCTAAAGCAGTGTAGTTTCTAGCATTGGTTCCTGTCTGCAAATCAGTTATTCCCTGAGGTATAAGTTCAGTATATTCTGCACTGGCCCTAGTTTGTGGCTGGTTGATTGAAACTTCATTTCTTGTTACAGTGACAACTCCAGTTTGATGTGAGCTGAATTCAATAGGCTCACCATCCTCAGCGTCAAATATTACAGTAATGCACTCCTCAGAAGAAGTCTTTTTTATAACCTTTTGTTGTTTAATGAAATTACATGTCTTTGGCCTACTGTCTGAGTAAGCAGGTATCTGTTTTTCCTCTTTGTCAGTAGATACAAACTGAGAATTCTCTGTGACTTTGAGCATGTCAGAGGTCTTTGTGTACCTCTCAGTAAAAGGAGTTGCTAATAAATCTGATGGACTTTTCTCATCACTGCTTTCTATATGCAACTCATCCAACACTTCATTGTCGTCAGTATCTGAAAGCTGAAAATTAAGGTCCTTCCAGCCTATATCAGCATGGCTTTGATGTAACTGTAACTCAGGCAGCTTTGTTCTGGTGCACGATTTTACTTCTGCCTGAAATCCACCGACAAAACTAGTCAATTTTTCAGGTCTTTCCTTTGAATTAAAATACGAACTTCTTTCTGGCAAATGTTTCCTATTAGGATCCCAGTCAAAGAGACTGTCAGAAATGCTGTGAGTTAATTTGTTACAATAGGTCCTGCAGTCTTTGCTTGGTACTTCCTGCAGCAACAGTAGGGATGAAGAGTCGTCCTCTGCGTCATCATGCGAATCTGAATCATAAGAGAAAGTTTTGTTACGTTCAATGCAAATACTTCCTATTTCCATTGGCTTACAATGAGTCTGTTCGTTATGGCTGCCACATTTAACTCCAGGGGAATATATTCCTTCATTAGAGTTCATGCAATCTTTGTAACCCCATTTTGATATTACTGAAGGTGATTCAAGTAATATTTTTTGCTTCTGTAATTTCTTCAGCCCTTCTAAGATATGGTTTTCCTTGATACGAGTTGGAGGTAGATCATCTGCAGGACTTGAGAGATTGCTTGGGAGCGAAGAACCAATGCTTATTCTTTTATCCCAGCTCACGGATAACTGTTAAAACAAAATAAAACTCACATATTACTCACAAGTGCTGTTAATAAAAAGTGTTACCATTTTAGTAAAGAGATTTAGGAGTTGCACAGGGCATTACGTTTCATCCATTGCCACTAATAGCAATGTTCTTTTTTAATAAAGGTTTTCATATTGGTGTGAAGGCTGCAGTGCATTTAAAACCTGTAGGAAGAACAATATGAATGGAAGGATTAAGATAAAGAAGAAGATTGGACTGTGAAAAAGAACATAAATGTCAGAATAAACAAGGAAACTGTGAGCAAATTGAAGTGATAAAGGAACTGTTAAAAAAAAAAAATTAAAAGCGGGGAAAGTGAGAGGGAGGGAGACATCGGGCAGAGAACCCTTACTGAGTTTAGTGACAACTGTTTTAAATATAAAAGAGAGAAGAAAGTGAAAAAAAATTCTGAAATAGGCAGCTTTTCAATTAATCTTGTTTCAGATTAACTTAAGCTAATAAATGAAGAAAATTAATTTGATTTACCCTTTTGCTGCATGTCTTCCCATCATTCCAAGTGTAGGAGGAACCACTGGAATATTCACTGCAAGCACTTGAGAGGGAGAGTTCACTGCTGCTGCAGCTGCTCCGGGGATACAGGCGGCTAGGACCTGTCATATTTAATTGACTCTGGCATTTCAAGACAGGTATACTGGATTTCACATTCTGCTGGCATTCCTAAAATATGAGAAGAAATAGAAATATCTTATGGGTGGAAAAAGATAATTTAACTTCCCCTTGATTAAAAAGTACAAAGAAAAAGCAAGTAAGCTACTTACACCTTCCTGTTATGCCATTAGCATCTGGTGAATTTGATACAGAGAACTAAATTAAAAATTGCTAATATTTTCATTTGTCAGGGGAAAAATCCACAATCCTCCATGTTTTCTTCTTTATTCTCAAACCTGTATTCTGCTCTTCTTTTGCTAAAGATTATTCTGAGTCTATTTGAATTATGCTTTGTATATAAGCAGTGTGCTCCAGTAAGATACAGAAAACAAAGTTATAAGAACACAAGTACATCTTGACAACTGCATTATATCCCTACAATATAACAGATGAGGCTGTACACCTTGGACAAGGTAAATTAATTTAGTATCCCAACCGGAATGTCCACTGAGAATGGAATCTCTCCATTACAGTCTAATTTTGGTTTCCTATCTAGTTCAAAGCTTTGTCTAAGAAACTCTCTGACGTAGAACAATCCATCTTTGTGTCGCTCGCAGACAGCTGAAGCCTCTTGCTTATGCAATTTATTGACACTTTATGGCTGCCTTTAGTACTTGTGTAGTTATCGCCCCTCTCCAAATGCAATTTCAGCTGACTGTGACTAAGTGCCAGCTTTGAGGAAGAGAGTAATGAAGAGCAGATAGCACTTCAGGTAAAATATAAAACCTCTGTAGGAGTATCTAGGATGCCTTTAATTTGTTTTCAAACTAATACTCTTGTGCCTAACAGTGTTAGAGTTTCTTTAATGTTAAGTGCCTGCACCATTCTGTTATGCTATTCTCCAGTTTCCTTACAGAATCAGACATCTTTTTAATTACCAGGAACACCAGACAGAGTGACATGACTGTTTCATAAAACTTTGCTTTGGATTTCATTAAGGCAAGCTCAAACAATATTTATTGATTTTCGTATGTAGATATACCCCAAATTAATTTTGCTTAGGTGAAAATTTTACCTTTATATTCAGGAAGATAGAGGAAATCTAAAGTTATTGAATCCACAAAACAATTATCAAAACTGTATATGCAGTAGATGCAGCTTCTTCATGCAAATCTCTGGAAAATGCTCAGTTTGTAGGCACTTCTTATACACTAACATATTTGTTGGCCTTCTGCTAATTTCTTCCATGTATTCCCCCATGTCCTCCCATTTATTACTACTAGGGTTGAACCTTTTTTCAGTTAAATGGGAGAGAGCAGAATTTTTACTGCTGAGGAGTTCATCAGCACAGCTGTTCATTGCTCAACTGACATAATAATGTTCTGTTTTTGACAAACGTAACTACAGGGCAAATCATTATTCTCTGTCACAGGCAAAACCTATGAATGGGAAAATCATTTACAGGTAGCAAGAGCACATTTCACCTCTGGGAGTTATTGGTACATGTTCTCCTAGGAAGTCAAATGGATGCAGGAGGAATAGCCTTTAAATCCACTGGCTCTGGGAAGAATACATCTTTCAGCATCAGAGGCAGGCTGATGCCTGTGTTTTTTGCTCTGAAACAGACTTTCTCGCTTTGTTGAGACAAATTACTCTTTATTTCTGACATCGTGGTTCCCATGGGAGACCCTCTCTCATCAGCTTCCTCAGCTATGACGGCGTCGTTCCCTGTAAGGTTGACTGTAGAGAGGCCAATGGCAGCATCTGCTTGTCCTGGCTGTTTTGTTGCCTTTCAGCTGTGGCATTGGGAAAACATGTCATGTCAAATTTCTGCCCTTTATACTAGGCTATGTCCCAGTCATCACAGTGTTTAAGGGAAGGAGGCCTGTAAAATCCTTTCCTGTTAAGAACCTCCTGTAAGACAAAAGAGGAGATCGCAGCATACTGACAAGTACTGCCTTCCCTTCCTGTCATCTTCAGCTAGCCCGAGAGCCTTTCCAGGAGAAAGGCATTTGGTCCTGCAGTTTTAGCAATGGGAAAAATGGGGATATCTAAGCAAATCGAAAGAACAGTATGTTACTGTAATCACCTTTATTGTTTAAGAGATGAGAAGATGTGCAAAAAATATCACGCCATTACAGATTCTTAAGTAGGATATCTGCCCAATTTCTAGATTGCATTCTGATCACTAGAGAGTGGAATTTTCTCCTGCAATTTGCCTTTATTCTCTAAATTATCAGAGAAAGTACTTTGAGTAGTATGTTTATGATGCATTAATTAAATATATTTAACTTGCATATGGGTCTAAACTGACATACCTTTCCAGGAGAAAGGCATTTGGTCCTGCAGTTTTAGCAATGGGAAAAATGGGGATATCTAAGCAAATCGAAAGAACAGTATGTTACTGTAATCACCTTTATTGTTTAAGAGATGAGAAGATGTGCAAAAAATATCACGCCATTACAGATTCTTAAGTAGGATATCTGCCCAATTTCTAGATTGCATTCTGATCACTAGAGAGTGGAATTTTCTCCTGCAATTTGCCTTTATTCTCTAAATTATCAGAGAAAGTACTTTGAGTAGTATGTTTATGATGCATTAATTAAATATATTTAACTTGCATATGGGTCTATTAACTGACATAGTGATATTTTAATTTTTTGTAATCATGACTCTTAAGTCATTACTTTTAATTAAATTAGAGTAATAAGGCCTGAATGTAGTATTACAATTTCAACACATAATTTTTGCTAGAAATCACAAAAAATTGAAAGAATCAGACTATTAAAGACACAAAACTCTATATTAGAAAAACCTAACCTGAAGGCTTAATTACATATAATGCAAAGGGTCATTAGCATTTTTGTGACCCTTTGAAACAATGCCTTTTCATGAAGGTATGTATTACAAAGGAGATTACATTTTTGTTGACACTACCATACTTCAAGATCAAAGGCACACACAGGTTCAATGTTCTGTTCTTGTCCTCTTTGTTTTCCTCTATCTTTATGTGACTTTTGTTTTTTAAGCTACTTTTCTTTGACACTGAAACATGAAAGCCACACTGGCTAACGTTTTGCCAAATAAGCACAAAGCTAACCCCATGTGAAAAAAAAATGCAGAGAGCATGAATTTTTAAAAGTTCATACATAATATATCATAAAAGTAGAATGAGTAATATGGTGTATGGGCTTTAATAAAAAGCTCCTTGACCATTTCTCAGAGATCCTGAGATGTAATCAATACCCAAAAAGGTATCTTGGGGACATTGCTAAGATTTACGCTTTTTTGCACAGAGTGACACTATCTGCTTACTATATCAACTGAGGACACAATATTGAATTTCAGAGAACAGAAGGAAGAAGAAGTATTGTTATCTGCCTCAACAGTGTTTCAATTCAGAGATCAGCTTTATGGCTCATCCCTCACATCAGACTTCAGAGGCGAAAAGGAGGGTTCCAAATGAGGGGTACAAGGACAGCACAAAAACTCACGTGAATCTGAGCATCAGCAGTTCGAGATTGCATCAGGCTTCTGTTTCGTTCTACTTCTGAAAGCAAATCCCCAGATGAGAGGTCTAAGATGCGTGAATGGAGTTTCTAGGGGGGCAGAAGGGAATGAACAAAGCATAAGCATTTCTCAAATACGCAGCAGATCAGCAGTTTTAAAATTCCAAACTCTGCTCTTAAATTTCAAGGGAAATGAAGACCCCGAGGTAGAAGAAGATTTGTTCTAATTTGAAATGTTGCTGTTTGTGCTTACTTTGTCCAAGACTTCCTGTCCGCAGAACAGATCATTCTTCATCCAAAAGAAACTCTACTTTTTCTTCTAGTCACTGTTTTGCAACTTATCATTACTTCACATGCAACAATGACAAATGAAAACGAGTCCCACCATTTCCATAGAGTTTGACAGGTTTCAGGAAAAAAGCATAAAAATGAACTACAAGATTAACATTTATAAATCAATCAACATGTTAATGTTGTTTTATTTACGAGCTGTTACACCTTGAGTGAATGATTGCAAAAGTGACCCTATTTTTAAACAGCATTGATCTGCTGAAGGCCTCCCTTGCACACATTTTAACTCAAAGTCATTAATGTCATCTGTTAGGAACAATTAATGTGAATAGAAAATAATTGCATCAGGGAACTAGGGACTCAGAGGATTTTGTGCATTAATATTCACATGCAGTTCGATTATATACACAGTTCTCTTTTCAGTTTTGCTTGGAAGGATGGCTAAGCTTATGCCTTTTCCTCCATGTTCACCTGTATACTAATTACTAAGGCTTTCAGTGTGCATTAAGCCTGATTTGTTTTAATTGCAGTTTCAATAAAATCCATGATTTATGTGAATGCCTTGGCCGATGACTTCAAAAGAAGAAATATCTGCAGTCTTGTCAGTCATTGGACCAACATATCATGTAACAGGCAGTATGGATCTGACTCACAGTCCACTGAAATCAATGAAAAAGGACTTTAAAAAACACCCCAGACAAAAGGACTTTAGATCAGGCTTTTTCATTTTCCCATTAATTCTCCAGGCTTGCAACCTGAGAGACCATATGTACCCCCTCCTCAGCACCGGGGCGCTCAGCTTGGAGGCACAAATGGTGCAGACCCTGCCAGGGCGCTTTGCCAGGGGCACTCTGTGAAGGATGCAAACGATGGAGACTTGTCAAGGCTACATGAGTGGCCCATCACCCTGTCCATCCAAAAAGCCTGGTCAAAGAGGGAAAAAGAATCTGTAGCCACAAAAGCCCTCCCACACTGTGCAGTAGTAGTAACGGCAAGACAGTTCTTTGCAGGGCCCTGAAACATCAGTCACGCAGTATCTTATGCCCAGCTACTCCCCAGCCTGCTCTCCTGGTACCCACTGCAGAAATTCATCTGCTAGATAACAAAGCAGGTGGCCATTCCTACAGCCTCTGTTATCTGCATGCTGTGCTTCAGGCATCTAGTCCAGACAATCTAGCAATTTTTTTAAAAACCTACTAATTATAAGTTTGGGAGTAATTTCTCAAGAGTTACATATTCATCCAGGTTTCTTCAGGAGGTACTATCTGTCGCAGACAGATTATGGAAAATATTTTCAATGATCAATGTTCTGTATAAACATATTTTGTTCAATATATTGTTAAATAGATTAAAATGCTATAAGCACTTAGTATCCAATATACTTTTCATTATAAATACTAACTACCTCCAGGCTATGTGTTTTTTAATATCAGTGATGCCTATCGCCTAGTTATTCAGTGTGCACCTTTTAAAGTGTTATTACTAGAGTTACTGTCAGGTGTTTGTTCAAGATTTAAGCTCCAGGTAAAATGCCTTCCCAAACTCACAGATTTACTGACTTAGTACACGTGTTATTCTTGACAATAATTCCAACTGCATCATTGAACCACCAGCGAATTCCACTGTTTTCAGAACCAGGAGTCACCGATGTTATGAACAAGTGGTGTACTTGCTCTTTGCAAAGGAATTACTTTCTCCAGTGAAACCAGTCACCTGATTTTTGCTTCCAGAGATATTTTAGTGGAAGTTACTATAGCCAGATCTGTGCATTAGAGATGATGACAGGGGACATCTGAGATGGATGAACATTTATTTTCCCAGAAAAAAGTATTCTAGAAATAGTGCTATAGGAGTAGCTGTAAACAGCTCAGAGTTACGGGGGTCCCTCCACACTGGCTCAGTGACCAGAAGAGCTGGGCTGCACATGGGTCACGCTATGCTCGAATCATCTTTGCCAGCGTTAAACTCTATGACTCTATAAAACTATAATAACAAAGGTGAATCAGCAGACTAAAATGATTAACAAAGAAGGAAAGTGTGTTCTCAAGATGTATAATGAGATTATATTTCTGTATCAAACAAAAGATCATCACATTGGGAATATTCACACACACACATATGCAAATAAACTAACAAGACACACGGCCAGCACAATGACTAGCATTAACAAACAGCATAACAAAGTTTGAGATCATTAATTAAATATAGTCACACAGCACTGCAGCAAGTCATCCAATTACAAAAGAAAAATGGTAAGAAAATTTTTTCTTTCATTTATTTTTTTCTTTTTCCTTCTCCATTTTCTAATTCAAAAATGGGAAAAACTCTACTATTTATCAAAAAACCTCATTAATGATCCATTTAAAATCAAATAACAGATTGTGCTAACTATGTATCTTGATTCTGATTCCTTCTCAGATACGCAAAATGTACTGTGTCCTTTACGGTTATTTTCAGATGACAGTCACATAACTAGATCAAGGAGTTACTGCTGCCTTGAAAATTGTACAATATTAAAATCACTGTTGATGCTATCATGATGCAATGCAACAAAAGGTAGACCACAGCACAGAATGACTTCCACAGAAAAGATCACATCAGTTTAAATGAATACTTGAATATGAAACTGAAGAGTTACAACTATAAATCCAAGTCACCTGCCCCATTTGTTGGTGCCCTATATAATGATAAGGGGAAACCGGGCAATATTGGTACATGGTGGGGAATGTCTGGGCCCCTTTGAACACAGGAAACCATCAGGAGCACCGGACTGCAGAACAGAAAACCCTTATGGAATTGCATACAGTATGGGCTGGGCCAACTTGCTTGGAAAATACCCTGTACTGAGTACTGCTGGGGCAGGTGAGGGCTAAAAAGTTCATAGCATCTTAGCTAGACTTAGACCCATGCCTCTACAGAACATGGGTGCTGAGAGGTACAGAGGCCAGGGCAGAGCAGAAAGGGCCTCTCTGCGGCTGCCTGTGACCAGTAGCAGAAAAGCTCCTCCTTCACCTGTGAGACTGATGCAGAAAAGACCGTGCCCTTTGTGGCTCAATGTCAAGATTAACTCCCGTAACCCACATAAAAAATAAAAACAAAGTAATTGATAATTTAGGTGGAAACCTATTATATCAAGTGCAATAGGAAATACAATTATCTGGCAGGCAGATAACCGATCCATCAAATAGTAGGCCAGTTCCCCCTCCCCCCAGCAGCATCCTTATTAAGGCTTTCTAGGAAGATAAAAGAAGGCTACTACCTGCTGGCATGAGGCAATATTACAGAGAGACTCCCCTAACTATTTTGCCTCTTGACTGTATCTGTGCAGAATATCTATCAGTTCCCATCTCCTTTTTGAACATCTAATGGCCTGCAGCATTGCCAGAACAATTTTCAATGAATTATGCCAAACTGTACACGGCTCTCCAATATTGGATGAGTTAATTGCTACTAAATCAATTGGCTTTGCTTTTCTCACATGAGCCAAAGTCCATCATTCACAAGAAAGAAATTCTCTCCCTAGGTTCTAAGGAGACATTTTCATCCTGGTGCTCCGTGCCAGAGCTGTAAATGTTTGTTTGGTGCGCGTGGCCTCCTCCCATCTGTGCTGTTATCCGGGGCATCACAAACCTGAACAGGCATACTCTGGACTGCTCTCCTGTATAACCTGACCATTGTAACTGGACTGGCAGGGAATACCTTTTCTGCAGCCTTCACACCACTCATTTTTAATAATTCTCTGCACAAAGAAGATTCCCCTCAAGTCCACAGGCAGCAACACCACCGCTCCAATTCTACCCCTGTTGTACTAAATGAGTTAAGTCTTAGTAACTCCACCAAAAACGTGCAAAAAAATGTGCAACATAAGAAGAGTGCTGATATGGTGACCTCTTTATATGTGTGATAGAGGCTCATGAAAGACAAGAGCTCTTTCCAGCTGACTTTTTTCACAATCATCTGACCTGTCTCACTCTTCCTGTTCCCTTGTTCATCTTTAACTGTCATATCCATCAGAAGCAGAGTGTAGCTATGAATTAATCACATCTAGGATGAGCTTTAGTTTCAAAGGTCTTACAGAAATAGTACTCTACATTTCCATTATACCATAGAAGACAGCAGACCAAAGAAAGAAAAAAATATGATTAGGTATGCAATTTATGTAGTATTAGTTTATGCAGAAATATAATCTGTCATGAAACTAAATCTTGATGTTAGTCCTTAGATACATTGCAGAGGGGATGTTCGGCTGGAGATGAGAGAACATCCTTCACCTATTCCATCGGAAGTTACCTAGATTAAGAACATGCACTACTCAAAGTATGAAGTGTGAACTTCTCATACACTAAATACTCTGAAATAAAGGAGAAAGTTAAGTATAAGATATAATCTGTCATGAAACTAAATCTTGATGTTAGTCCTTAGATACATTGCAGAGGGGATGTTCGGCTGGAGATGAGAGAACATCCTTCACCTATTCCATCGGAAGTTACCTAGATTAAGAACATGCACTACTCAAAGTATGAAGTGTGAACTTCTCATACACTAAATACTCTGAAATAAAGGAGAAAGTTAAGTAAAAGGAAAGAATTATAAAACCTCTGAAAGTAGAAATAGATTTTGCTTTTAAACAAATCAGAGTTTGTAATGCATATGCTTTTGACATATGGTAATTCTGCTTTCTAAAGAGAGCTGAACAAGTGGTTGCCAACATAAAGCAGCCAAATATGAAGTAAAAGTGAAAGCTGCAAAAAGATGCTTCCATTTTATTTAATTCTAATAATCACTAACATAGGAAATGT